GGTATTTATCATTACACTAGGTACACGTACTGGACGACCGGATTTACCAAGGTATTTATCATTACATTAGGTACATGTACTGGACGACCGGATTTACCAAGGTATTTATCATTACACTAGGTACATATAATGGACGACCGGTTTCACCAAGGTATTTATCATTACACTAGGTACATGTACTGAACGACTGTAAAGTAGTTATACACAAGACTAAGACAAACCGTAGAGTAGTTATCCACAAGACTAAGACAAACCGTAGAGTACTTATCCACAAGACTAACACAAACCGTAGAGTTCTTATCCACAAGACTAAGACAAACCGTAGAGTAGTTATACACAAGACTAAGACAAACCGTAGAGTACTTATCCACAAGACGAAGACAAACCGTAGAGTACTTATCCACAAGACTAAGACAAACCGTAGAGTTCTTATCCACAAGACTAAGACAAACCGTAGAGTAGTTATACACAAGACTAAGACAAACTGTAGAGTACTTATCCACAAGAGTAAGACAAACCGTAGAGTACTTATCCACAAGACTAAGACAAACCGTAGAGTTCTTATCCACAAGACTAAGACAAACCGTAGAGTACTTATCCACAAGACTAAGATAATCCGTAGAGTACTTATCCACAAGACAATCTGTAATAAAGAAACTCGGCAGAGTGCATGTTTGTAGGGTCTTCCTGTTTTATAAACTCCACCAACCCCATTTCATTGAGACCCTGTTCCTGAACTGTACTGCTGAACGTGAGTATTTACGGAAACTAAACTTATTATCAGAGGATAAACAGCACCTCCTTATGGTCGGAAGGGTAAATCCTTCCATTCTTATCACCTCCTTATGGTCGGAAGGGTAAATCCTTCCATTCTTATCACCTCCTTATGGTCGGAAGGGTAAATCCTACCATTCTTATCACCTCCTTATGGTCGGAAGGGTAAATCCTTCCATTCTTATCACCTCCTTATGGTCGGAAGGGTAAATCCTTCCATTCTTATCACCTCCTTATGGTCGGAAGGGTAAATCCTACCATTCTTATCACCTCCTTATGGTCGGAAGGGTAAGTTCTTCCATTCTTATCACCTCCTTATAGTCGGAAGGGTAAATCTTTCCATTCTTATCACCTGCTTCCAGAAAAGTTCTTCCAGAAAAGATGATTTTTGAGGGGAGAATATTTCATATCTAAAAATAATAATGCCACCAGTTCTTACCGGAAATAAACTGTTTTATTATCGAAGAACCAGAGCTAATATAATATTGTTTTCGATAGTTACAAATCGGTTGTTTGTGTGACATCACATCATCATAAATTATTTACAACTATCATCAATTATGTTTGCCGACTTAATTCGTTGTGTACCATACTACTTGACATTGTTTACAATTATCATAACATACTACTTGACATTGTTTTTTGTTTTGTTCTCTTTCGATATCCAATCTTAATTAATTATTCATCTCAATTCTCTACAGAACCACATAACTCCCTGCCACCAACCATAACTAACTTCAGGTCCAGTGTACGTGGATCTCAAGGTGACGTGGTAACCTTACCATGTGTAGCTCAAGGTAAACCTCCACCGGAGTACCATTGGTATAAGGAACACCATGGATTACGATCAGTCATTCGATCTGATTATCTGGTACTTCTTGAAACAGGAATTCTGGTAATTCGACAAGCGCGTGTAGAAGACAGTGGAACGTATGTATGTGTCGCAAATAACAGTTTGGGAGCCGTGGAAAGCAACACAAGACTGTCCATAACCGGTGAATAAGTTTTATAAACAGATTACAAAACGGAATAAATATACTGGTAAATGATAAAATAGTTTTACATTTTTGGTACGTTGTAAGCAGGAAAAAAACCAACACTGAGAAATTGGAGAAGATATGTTTTAAAAATTCCATTAAAAATAAAAGTCATTTTAGAAGAGACAAACTAACTTGTCTGGTTTAAGATCAAAATATCAGATCGTGGGTAATTTGTATGAAGCTACTCATTAGAGAATGTGTTATATTTCTAGGGATGAGGGTTAAATAACAAATCGTGTTTTATTCATAAGGATGAGGGTTAAGTAACAGATCGTGTTATATTTCAGAGAATAAAGGCTAAATAATAGATCGTGTTTTATTTCTGGGAATAAGGGTTAAATAACAAATCGTGTTTTATTTCTGGGAATGAGGGTTAAATAACAAATCGTGTTTTATTCATAAGGATGAGGGTTAAGTAACAGATCGTGTTATATTTCTGGTAATAAGAGTTAAATAACATATCGTGTTTTATTTTTGGGAATAAGGGTTAAATAATAGATCGTGTTTCATTTTTGGGAATAAGGGTTAAATAATAGATCGTGTTTCATTTTTGGGAATAAGGGTTAAATAACAGATCTGTTATATTTCAGAGAATAAAGGCTAAATAATCCCAGAAATAAAACACGATCTAAATAAGGGTTAAATAACAGATCTTCTTTTATTTTGGGGAATAAGGGTTAAATAACATATCGTGTTTTATATCTGGGAATAAGGGTTAAATAACAGATCTTGTTTTATTTCTGGGGAAAAGGTTTTATATAAGATACTGTTCTAAGTTTTAATAATAAAAAGCAACCAAAAGATCGTGTTTCATGTTCAGGAACAACAAACCACAATATAACGAGATGTTTTTTTTAGGAAGAAGAAACAAGGTTCAAGTTGGAAAAAGTGTTTCATTTTTTATCATAAAGAATAAATCAGAAGTTGTAGGTAGAATACATATTTAAATCACTGTATAGTTTTAGTCGCCAGAGAAAAGTGTGAAATTATTTTATTGTTGATATCAGGAATATAAATACCAGAAGTCATTTGATATCAAATTCATTATAAATATCACTATATATTTCATTCACACTCTTGTTTTCCTAAGATCATCTTAGCACGGTATACATACAGCACTACCTAGTGTCAAGTTTCAAAGTTATGTTGTATAGAAGGTATAAAAGATAAATTAGATTACACAGGCCTGCGATGGTTTTATTGTCTTGAAACTTTTACATGTTCAACAGTAATTCCTGTACGCTAAATCCGAAAATGATATCCATTTTTCTCCATCACGTACAGATTTTTCACAAAACGTCATATGTACTTTTACAAAATCGGGGTCACATTTTGTTATACTTAAAATGTTGACAACCACTGGCTATAGATTTATCCAATCGCGACGTGAGAGTCTTATC